AACTTTCCGCCCGCCGCAGTATTCCCATTGCTACCATTATCACTACCACGGACCATCACCATTATTCCGCTACAGTGGATGGACACTTTCGTCACTTGGGATCCCTAAAGCATGGTAGTTTAAAGCTATACCGTATCCAGAGTGGCGCAGGGTTTCCTCCATCCACAGTACTACCTTTGCCAATGTTCCGAGTATGTACTACACCTGTGGCTCAGCCTCAGGACGCGCTGCTGCCGAAAGAGGGACGGGCGCTTAGCCTTTGCAATGGCAATCTGCCTGCCTGAACAATCCTGATTCTTCTGCTCGAGCTTCAGGATCGGCGGAAGGCAGACGAAGAAAGATCCTTCTTGTCGCCATCCCAGCCTTCAGCGACCTCCTAGCAACGGTGCTGGCGTGCATTGGAATCATGTACATCCCTGCCAGTGTGTGGCAAATGCTCAGAGGCCCTAGCCCCAGTTGAAATTCAGCCTGGGAAGCATACCAACGAAGGTTTTTCTATTTTGGAAATTCCGGAGGTCTTATGGAGGTGTGGTAGGCCCATGTAGGCCCCCATAGCCACAGAAACATGTCAGCCAACTTTCTTCGTCCTAAGCAGCTGCCTCCGCATGCGGTGCCTATGCTATGTGACGGGTGTGGCAGTGTGTACGGTTCATCGATTATTTGTGGCCTACACCAAGTTTGTTTGTACTGACATAACACTTTCCACGAGGCCGGAAAGAGGGTTCTCCGCAATAGTGCGGCAGATTTTGGCGAGAGGCCCCCGTGATTATTTCCCATGGTTAAGACCAAAAGCAAGCGTCGGGCCATTCTCAGCAGAATCAACCGCGCGGAGTACTCGGCTCTAAGGTGCAACCTTGTTCTTTACCGGCATTTTCTCGGTCACTCTTCTGAAGCACAAGCTTTATGTCTTCAATTGGATTGGTCTTCTGCTTTGCATCACAGGCAGGCTGGGAAGGAGGTGGAGATGCATGATGTGCCTGTTGCGCGGATGCATGATGTAGTGCGCCGCAATTATCTTGATGCTTGAAGGCAGAAGTCCTACTGTAGGTTTTCTAAGCTGAGAGAAGCTCTGAGCTGAGAGAAGCGTACCAATAGTGTCCCTCTTTGCTCGTCATATCTTTCGTGCTTGTGTCATCTCATTTTCCGCGGCACAAGTAGTCCTGGTTGCCCTTGCCCTCTCAGCTTGCATGATGATGAAGCACTTAGTCTAGTGTCGGGCACGCGACGTTTTATTAGACAAGGATGGGCCAGCTATGATTTGCCACTGTGCATGCAGGTGTCGTGACCGTAGGCTATGCAAGCGTGGAGGGTGAAAAGAGTGGATCTGGAGCTCAAGATTCATCTTCGGTCGCCTTCGGAGTCACGCTGACTTTGCTTGGGCAAGTAGTCCAAGCTGCCCAGGCCCGGAAGTGAAGCAAGAAACGCTGAAATTCAACTGCATCAAGACGTTGGGAACAGTAGCTTTGCATGCTCAGACTTGACGATTTCCGATTCAGGGTTAGAGTGGAGGAGGTGCAAGGGAGTTTCCAGTCGCATGTTGTGGCAAGCAACTTAACCCACAATAACCAGCCACATGCGTCAAAAACCAAAGCCAGAAGACACAGACATGTTAACACGTGGCAAAACCAGCAGAAGCAAGAGCAGCCGCCGCAGCATGAACCGACAACGCATGAACCTCAGCAAGTGCAAATGCCAAAGCACGCAGCTCATGAAACACAAGCACCAGTAGAAAATATCCGCGTTGGGTTTAACAGTACTCCTGAATGTTGGGTCAGCTGTTCTAGTCACTAGTCATGTTTGTAGCCATGGTGGAATGAGGGATAGGATTCTGTAGGGGCGGAGGAAGTAGCACCATTAAATATACAAAGAGAAGTACAAGGCCGTAGTACTCTTACTCAGCGTTGTCTTCGTTGTTGCCATCACAGCAGCAGCGGTTGTTTCAGGAGTGGTGGTTACAGAAGTTGTAATAGCAGAGATGGCAGTTGCAATTATGAGAGTATTGTGGCAAGCAACTTTGAGCAGTGGTACTGATACTACACTAACGCTGCGATGCATTCAGTGAGTCATTTGCATTCCACAAGGAACCATGGGGGCTCTGTGTTGCAGTGCTCTCTTGATTCCTCTTTGCACTGGGCTAGTGCCAATGGTGCGTGCATGTTCTGTTCTGCTATAGAGACCCCTGCTGGCCCTGTTATGCATGTGCAGCCATGTCTGCAAGCTAAAGTATTTCAATGCATTAGCAGAATCCTTGCTTGGAACAGAACACGCTTCTTCGGCCATCTCTGCTTGTATACACAGAAGGTTTACGTTTACGTTGTTGCTGGCATGGGCCTTGTGAGGCAAGCATGAAGGAGCAACCAGGAGGTTAGCGAGCGTTTGACAAATTTTACTTTACCATGCCGTGCTGTTGCAAAACTGCATCTGCACAGGTCATTGCTGAGGAGTACCTCATGAAGGACGTGGATCTTCCTGCTGTAGAGATCATTGGCTACGAGGGCCTTTGGGGTGTGCTGATGATGGTTGTGATAGTTTACCCGACGCTGTGGCTGCTACCCGGCCCAGACCACGGGCATGCGGAAGACATCGTGGACACGCTTGCGCTCGTGAACAACAGCCGCTTGGTGCGCTGAGGCAAATTTGAACCACCCTAACCCTGAAACCATAGTTGTTGGGTCGGGTAGCCTCTGAGGCCATACCCTGCTCTGTGTGGTGACCATCTATTTGATTTCCTGCGGCACCTTCAACATTACAGGAATTGCTGTCACCGGGGCCTTGTCTGCAGTGCACCGAATGATGCTGGATGCATCCAGGACACCTCAAATCTTGCGCGTTGGCTTCACGTCATACTGTCCGCAAACAGACACGTGAGAAGCAGCCTGCATAAAGTTGAAGGCTGGTGATGCAGTTCTTCACATGGGAATGTTGAGAAATTTGCCCATCAACGCATGTGCATTGGTAAGAAGGAAGCATGGGAGGATGTGAAGCGCGGACTAGCAATTTCGAACTCATCTGCTCTGGGCGATGAGCCCTTGCGAGTGATTGGGCCTTAGCTGATGTGGCGGGTTCAGGCCTAGCTGAAGCTATGGTTTCCGAGCGGCTGTACATGCCATCAACAAAGCCATGGGCTCCCATCCCTCAAAAAGCATCATCAGCACACGTTTCCTTTTTTTGGTTTTTGCGTGGGCAACAGTTGCCCGGTCCTGAGCCCGAGCTCACCACAGACGAAAAGTTTCAGGAAGCTGAGCGCTGGCCGCCTGAAGGGATATCCATACGATGGTGATGCTGCTGGCCTCGTATGGTGGGATCTTCCACTGATGCTAATGTCATGTGGCTGTTGCCAGCACCTAGAAGTTGCATGAAGTTGCGAAGCAAGGATGGGAAGGGCTTGGCAGAGCGGCACGAGCAGACTACCACATGGAGAACAAGTCAATACAGACTTTTTTTGAACACCATGAGTTCATTGAGACAGCTTGATGCAGTTTGATTCATTAGATGCACTTTACAACGCTTGGCCTGCCACCTGGTGTGGTACTTGTATTACTAAAGTGTGGGAATTGGTACTGCATGGACAATCGCAATAGTTGCACGGCTTATCGGCTCCCCCTTTTTCTTTTGGCCTGCTTGGTTTGCAAGGTGTTCGATTCCTTTGCCGCTATTGCCACAGGGCCAAGGGTTGTTTTTGCCAAGCGTGTGGCTCCTCAGCTCCTGTTTGCGCACAAAAACAGAGGGGACGCTTGGAAAGCTAATCAGGCCAAGCCAACCGCCCAAACGAAATTGCCAAAGTCTTTGTTGTTGCGGCAAGTGGTTTGCTTTGCTCTCCTGATTTCATAGCGACAAGCTTGGGTAACGGGTACAAGCAGCTTTCTGAATTGCTGCACAGTCAGTCTCAGGCCATAGTGGCATGTAGTGGCAATTGTTGACACTCCCATGACTGTCCAAGCTTACCACCTTTTGAAGCCTTCGCACATGGAGGACGATGATTATTTGGGGTTTCGGGCTTTTCGTCCACTACAAGGTTGATCCACAGTCGCCTTTTGGTGAAGAGTGGACTTCTTCTAGCAGGCTTCAGCTCTGCGGCTTCCTCGTTCTGATCACTGGCCAAGCCATTTATGGGGAGATCATTCGTCTTCCTGGGTTGAGGCCGGATTTCAAGTCGATGGAGATGCTCTGGATCAGATCAGCCTGTGCATGACAAAAGCATATTGCAAACAGTTTTGCTGCTAATGATCCTGGCAGGTACCCGGCACAAAGCTTTGATGATCATGCCAAATTTGCCTCTCCTGCCGCTGCCCTGAATTTTGCAAGCCCCTCACTATCTATCAGAGCAGAGTAGGGGTGGCCAGGGCTGCACTCCCCGTGGAGTTAGCATCTCCGTGCAGATGTGGCCATCACAGAGAATCATGAAGCTTCAGCGCAGAAGTCAACTTCCAACCCCGCGTGGCATGGCGGCTGTGTTGGGGCGATAAGCTCGCAAGCTGCGAGTCATCGGCTGCAAGTCAAGCTGTTCAGCTTGCGTCTATTGGTTTAGAAAAGAGGCACTTTGCAATCTGCTTTGATTTGTCAGCCACGTCGGCCAATCGCTCTTGAACAGAGGCCGAAAGGAAGCTGTACGACACTTACTGTGTGTGTGCCTGAGAAGAGGCCGAGTGACCTGGGGCACCTCATGAAGTCTTGGTGCTTGCAGGCAAAGCTAGATGCAGTCTGCGCCTGCTGGATGCTTTGAATGTGCTGCTCACAGAGCTCTACCGTGTTTCAAGTCTGGCAAACTCATGTGGCAAAACAGGTCGCGTCAGGATTTCGTGAGCTGTAAGGTGCTTCCTCGTGCCGCAGAAACTGCCCGAATGCTCGGAATAGATGTGCTCGGTGCCTATGATGTTCGTTCCTCGAGCGCGCACTTTTAGTGGCATTGAGTCCAAGAGGTCCATTGCAAGCGGCAACCCTATCCCGACGCAAATCTGTATGATTCGCCCGGTGGGCACTGAAAGCAAATGGATGATAACGTCAGCTCCTGACTTTGTTTTTGAGGCTGAGCGTGCTGTGCAGAGGATCACAGTACCGCGTGGAGGGACTGCGCACCTGGCAAGTTGAGGCATGTTGACGTCGTTTCGCTTTCAACCACATTTCCTGCCAGATTGACTCGTGCTGCCCACCGCGAACGAATGCTGCTGCTCTCACCGTCAAGGTCCCAAGCGGGAGACTCAATTTGCAGTTCCAGGACAGAATACGCTCTCTGTCGAAACTCTAGGTTTCAAAAGGATGCCGGCAAAGGAAGGAAGCAATTCGCCTGTAAGAATTTGTTGGGAAAGACTTCGCATGGTTGTCACTTGGTGTTTGGGAAGAAGTCTAGGATATTAATTATGGCTGAAGTCTTGTGCCGAAAACGCTTCCTCGCGGCACCGTCGTCCCTGTTCGCAAGGTTCAGACTGCGTATTTGCAGAGGTATGAGCACGGTATCTCCGTAAAAGCAACTCAGGTTGCCGGCCAACGAGGCGCAGAGTGCATCCCTCTCGTCATGGAGTGCATGACTCAGCGCTTGGAATCGTATGTAATCAAATAGTGGGCAAAGTCCGGGAAGTGTTGCAGTTGCAACAGCTTTTGCCGACAAGATATCACACCTGCGTTACGAACTGGTCATTAGCAATTCGACCTGCTTCTAGGGTGAGCGACGGCGGCAGTCTGGAAATCAGAGCATTCAAAGGCCACGCAGCGGTTTCTACTTTGACCCAGTCGTTGTCCTGGACTTTCAGTCGCAAGGGGCTCAGACAGGGTCGAGTGTGTTGAGAACTTTGAGTAGGTCCATCCGTTTAGAATCCATTGGTCTGACATAAGGCTGTATCCCTCGATCATCATTGCATACAACCTCTGTTTCTCTACTTGTGCAGTGCGCTGAGTTTGTGGCGAGATGGAGAGCTGGGCTTCTCTAGCGGTTACACTAGCTTCATCTAGCAGTAGCATTCTGCTGGCAACCAGCTCCAACAGTGATGGCATTCACGTTTGGGCTGTCTTGGCAATGCTTGACTGGTTCTGCGGTCTCGCTCTCGACATGCAGAAGAGATGCAGGAAGTAGACAATGTACAAGCACTTCATGGTAGGCTCTAGCCTCTGGATGTTGTGACCTGTTTTCCCATTGGTCCACATCCCGACTTTCAAGTCTTTTTTGATTTGGACTAGCTTAGATGCGGGGTGCTGCCTTGGCCGGGTCAAGTTTCGAGTTTCAGGGATCTTCAATGATTCAACTTCAAAATTGGGGGATTTGCGGAGAAGCATGATGGGCTTCTCTGCCGCTACGGCGCTGGCTGGGGCCAGGGATTGTCACCACCTGGCGTTGTTTGCTTTTGTCTGAGATTCCATGGCTCAAAGTTCTCCTTTGACTTCGTTCGCTGGGCAGCATCTTGCGAAATTCTTTTGTTACTTCTAGGTTCAAGCCAATACTAGTTTAGTTTCTAAAAACGCATCGGGCTTCAAGCCACGGTAGGCTTCCACTCACGGCACTTGGCTTTCAAAGCAATTGAAGCTGAAAGAAGCACCAACACGGCTTCAAGACATGTTGATTGGGATCCAGCTCTTTGTTGAACTCGGGCCATCTCGCGTCGCATGGGGACGGTTGTACATGGTATGTGTGCACAATCTGTCAAATCAGTTTTTGCAGCAGCATCTGCACGGCAATGTTGAAGTGCCAAATGCAGTTGGAAGTAAGTTGCCAAGCAGCTCGCTGCAGAAAGTTTTCTAGGATGTTCCACCTGCCACCCAAGCCCAAGCCTGAGCAAACATGCTGGATCTTTCACCCGAGGTTCTCGTCAGCTCCCCTGCAGACCCATAAAGCTCAAAATTTTATGTCGGGCCCACGTATGTGAAAGCCAGCATCTGCACGAAATCACGGCTTGAACCCTTGCAAGTGCTTTTCCAGACCGAGCGTCCGCAGTAAACCGGTCGATTCTATGATGCTTCTGTCCCATTGATCTGGAAGCAGCAACTACTTGGGGAGCGGCACTTTGTGATGTGTGATGCGCCCCCCCTGATGCATTGTAGTTTTCAAACTCAGAGAACAGAAGGATGTAGCTTTGGATTTCAGATGACAAGGGTTGGAGATTTATCCGCTGCAAATCGGCTTGGCTTGGCTTGGTGTGGCTTGGCGTAGCATAATTGGAATGTTAACAATCCGTACAATGCCGAGCAAGCGTTAGTGTGTGATTTCATGGCAGCAGTAGCAAAATTCTTGAGCCTTTAGAGCGAGTCAAGTTTGCGTTTAAAGCGAATCCACTGGATCAAGAACTTGCCTGCTATGGCCGGCCCGCCAAGATAGACGGCAGATTCATGACTTGAGTGGTTTGATTTTGAAATCGCACGCCAATTTTTAAATTTTGGTTGAGGCTGTCGCATGCGCATGCAGTCTGCCCGCCGTGGGTTGGCTTGGCTTGCAGCAGGGCTTCGAGGTTTCAGTGCAGTTGTTACGGCCCTTCAGTGATTGGTTGCACATTGGCCCGGCATTGCTGTTTGGAAAGCTCCTGGTGCAATGAGCTACAGTAGCTAGTTTGTTGAGATACCTATGCAGCAGCCCTGACTTAACTGCCATGAGTCTGTGTGGAATGAGGCTGGCCGGCTGCAGGACCTTGGCACTCAAGCAAAGTTGGGAGTGCTGGAGGCTGTGGTCACGTGCGGTTTGCGAAGTTCAGTCAGATCCAAATCGGCAAGAAGGAGAGTGTAGGAGAGCCAGAAAGGGACTGATTCATGAGTAGCGGTGCCCTTGCGTAAAGCATTTTCATCACTCGATAGTGCTGAAGCTGCAGGGTTCCGTTTGGCTGACCTGTTTGAATCAGTCACAGGTCAGGGACAAGAGGTAGGGACTTCCCATCTACCTAAGGAAGCCGCTAATTGAGGGCAAGCTGCTCTTGCATACTGCATAGACGAGGGAACAGGGGGAGGCTGCATACAGAACATCGGAGAGGCTACTTCTCTGCTACTACATGCAGCTGGGGTTGGCGGTGCTCTGCTTCGGGCAGTAGGGAGAACGGCAACCTGGGTAAGTGGCCATTATGGATAAAATCTCACTTCTGCCTTCCCATGCCTGTGGAAGAAGAAGAAGAAACAAGGCTGGCACGAGTGGTGTTTGCTGTCTGGTGTAGCCAGAAGATCAATTTGATGCAAAAGCAGCGTTTTGCTAGACGTCACTTTGTGCAAACAGCTGTTTGCCTCGAAGCGTTTTCAATGACAGCAGAAGTACGGAGTGTTGAGTGCAAAGCAACGTGGCCCGAGAAGCGGCTTTGTACAGAAAGCATCTGGTCGCGGAAAGCGATTTCCCCTGAGCAGTCAACTTGTTCGGGTACCTTCATGATTCATGATATACCTGAAGTGCAGCCAAATGTCGCACGAAGTACCAGGCAATTCCTGGAAGCAATCTGACCAACTTGCCTGGACGTCCGCCATTCTTATCCGCATGTCTCATGTAGAAGAAGGATCAATGATCAGGTGTAGGTTTATGTGAAATGCAGTTGCAACAGCGTAGCGTAACCTCGGGAGCCCAGGGCCTCTTAGTTTGAAAAGCAACTTTTCTTCAACCGCTTTTTGCAAAAAGTGATGATTCTGAAATTAGCTGTTTCGCGTAACATCGGCTTTCACGCAAAGAAAGATGTGTTGCAGTAACTCATCTTAGCTGAACATCGACCGTCGACTGTTTGCAGAAGGAACTTCCTGACCTTTTCCGAAGAGTGACCTTGCGACAATTGTCAAACGACTTTTGTGAGAAACAACTTCTTTGCGCATGATCGGTCAAAGATGAGAGCTGTTAGATTGCGAGCTGCGAGAAGGAGAAGATGCCGAGATATGCCGAGCGTGCCAATATGAAAGTAACGACATGTGACGATGAGCCGCCCGGCAGCTGTCTTCTTTGAGCAGACTACATTTGTTCAGGCCAGTGTCTAGATCCAAGCCAAGTGACTCCGCGTGCAAAGGTTTTTGGGCAGAGTATGGCAGGATATGGCAGGATAATGTGGGTGCAGGGTACGTAAGGCATTGACGCGCACCGAAAAGCAATGCTGGACGAGGAACGTAAAACACAGCAGGGCCAATGCAGCTTTATGGTGAGAGCTTATGCCAGGCTCACCCCTTTGGACTTGCAAAACTTGCTGGAAAAGGCTGCAGAAGAAAGTACCTGATTGACGTCAGCAGTAACCTGCAGCAGCGCAAGAAGAGGAGGACTTGCGACTAACGCAGCAAACCCACATGTTTGGGAAGAGATTTGGAGGTCACTGCAGGCTTGCAAAGTAAGTTCTTGCAACTGTGGATACTTTGTGGCCGCGTTTGTGAGGCTGCTACAAATTCCATTTGTGGGATGATTTTAGCGCCGTGGGTAAAGAGTTGACCTTTTGCAGGACACGGAAGGTGCAAACTCGTGCCAAAGCAGTCAAACAAGTGCAGACAGATTGACGCATGCAAGTAGCTATGCTGCAAACAATCAGCCGGTGCAGGCCTATGAATCAGCAAGCCTGAGGCCGCGTGTGGGGCTTTGGCAACGATTTCAGAAGCATGTCTCGTCCGTAATTTAGGCCGCAGGATGTCATTGTGACGCCGAATGAGGCCCGAGTCCGAGCGTTTGTTCCTGAAAGTTTGTCATCACGCGCAGGCCGTCTTCATGAAGAGAACAAAGAAGGCAGGCATTTTGCCTCGGATGCTGCACGAGATCCTGCAGCTGGAGCCTGAGACAAGACTTTCTCCAGCTGCCTGTAGCCTGATTCTCTGTTCCCCGTTCTGATTTCCGATTCCAATCCGCCAAAAATCATCATTGCCTGTGCCGGAGGACGCGTATCATGGTCAAGAAGGCCCTTAAGGCTCTGCATAAGGACGTTGGCAACGCCACTGAGGTGCAAAGCATGTTCTTGTTACTTCGAGCATTTCGAGCCAAGGTAGATTTCTGCTGCTCCCGTGGTAGCTTTCGTGTTCTCTCCCCATCCTAGCTGAGCTGGAGATTGAGAAAATCAGTGAATCGGGAAGCTTCGTTGTTGATTTTCAGTTTCGAGCTACGCTCACGCAGCAGGCTTGTCTCTCGTGACGGCTGCAGCAGCAGTTCAGGGAGACATGCGCTGCAAAAAGTGGACAAACCAGTGCTTCGTTGGATACGTTAAGTTTGATAATAAAGTCCAGCAAGGAAAGTCGTTGCAGTGGTGTTGTGTACTGCTCTCTCTGGGGTTCCGCGAAGTGCTGATTGTTGCTGGTTTTGGCTTCGTGCCGCTGGGATGGTGACTGCTGTTGATTTTCTTGACCATCAAGTATTCTACATTTCGCGCCGTGTGCCCTGCACTTTCCTGCCCTATCTCAAGAGCTTTGGCAGATCCACTTGACGTGCTCTCAAAAGCGTGCTCGTGTTCTTGCGCATTGTTTTCGAATTCGCTTTTGCTGCGAGACCCTCAATCTTGCGCAGTGAGCTTTTTTGTCTTCAATTACGGGGCCCACCAGGAAACGCTCAAGAAGGATGGAAGGGCGCGAGTTTCATAAAATCCCAAGCAGCCAGTGCAATCAGACATGTGAGACGAAGCAAACAGCTCTTGGCCCAACGGTCCAGCACGTAACAGATCTTTACAGTCCCGAAAATTCTGATCCTCTGTTTCATAGATGCCATTGAAGGACCCCATGTTCGCCTTAGCGAGTTCTGTCCCTTGACGCCCCCGTAATTATATGTGTCATGATCTCCCGAAGATCAGGATGACAACAAAATCTGGAGATTTTGTCGCCGCACTTTCTTCTTATCTCAGCTAGTTCTGGTTACATCGTGAATTACTGGTTCATTTTGTTCTTTGCAGCGGAAGGATTTGAGGTCTGATATGTAGGTAGGTTCGTAACAGTTGTCCGCAATTTAAACGGCCCCGATGTTAATTATTTTGGAGACTGCTAGGTGCCAAGATGTGGTTTGCTGCAGACACGTCCTCGCTCCGCGTACCTACGCGTACCATGGTCACCCATCATATGTTCAGGCAAGAGCTCGACTGCTGGATGCCAGACAGTTCGGCCTGAAGATGATTGCGAACGTGGGAAACTTGAGGGGGATCACGCAATGGGAAGTTGCCAGATCCACTGATGTATAACTGTATAACCTGTCCCAGAGAGTATTGACCTGTGAGGTCACATATGGCTACACGGGTGCATCCTTCAGTGGTAGGCGCTCAAACATCTTGCCAGCATTTCTGAGCCCTGGTCTCAGCTGTATCAGGATGCCGTTCGTCGAACTGGCCGATGCCATTGTTCAGACAGCCAGGCCGAGAGTTGTCCGTTGGCGAAGCTGATGGCTTGTGTTTTTCCAACAAACATGTGCCAGTCAGCAATGTATATGTGTGTGTGGCGGCACAGGCAAGGCATGCAGGAATGGTGTCCTGAAGAAACATGGGCTATTGTTACTCGTACAGAAGTTGTTGTGCTGCCCAGGATGCTATACTGAAATGCTGCCTTACGACAGGCGCACCTTGGAGCGCGCCGTGCGCTGGGTGGAGAAAGAGGTAGCTGGTGCCGAGGCCGGCATCACGTGCTGACAAAAATGTGGTCGGCGAATGAATCTTGAGTCTAGAGATTCAAGAGCGGCAACTTTGGAGCAAGGACCTTTATGAGGTTTGCACAGGTATGCGGGATGGTGAGCAATGTCGTGATGCTCAAAGTGAATGCGCGAGTCGTTCCAGGAAGTCGCGTTTCTAGGCTTGACGGGATAGGCTAGGCGCCATTCAAGATTAGAATCGGACAACAAGAAGAAAGGAGCACGCTGGCTTGTGAACGGCAGGAGATGTTCAGACGAAATCTCTGCAGAGACAAAGACTTTCAATGAAAACCAGTTTGAGCGTTTTCTGAGCAAGGTCAAGGCATTGCCAATGATCGGCTTTTCTAGGTATTCCATCTGGTGCTGGCTGCCTCTCTTCCTGGATCATATTACAGGAAAACCAGGGAATCAAGTGGCAAGGAGGTGGCAGCCAGGGCAGGCAAAGTCCCAATGTCGACCTGAAAAGAAAGGCCCAAAGGCTGCACCGTTTGCATATGTGAGCAGCGTTTTTTCTGCATGAAAGAGCTATGATGACCGTGAAACTGCAAG